ACGCAAAGGCAGCTGGCAGCCAGGTCTATTGAGCACCTGCCCAGATGGTTCCTAAAGCAAGAAAATAAAATCCCGCGTTCCTCCATTACGAAACACCTGGTTGATAGTGCTCATCCCATCGACCCCAAAACTTCCTTCCGAGAACTTGTTTGGGCACGAACAGCTAGGGCATTGCGTTACCTAGGGGCGGCTTATATACGGCGAGTGAAACCAGATCTTTGTAACCAGTTGGAACACGTGGTAAGACTAACATTGCCATGGTAGCCTTTGGCTCCATGATTTAACTTCCCCTCCCTTTTCCTCGTTAGCGTCTCCCTTTTATCCCACTATTCTTCCCAGACGGTGTTTGAATTACTACTTTTATCAATTAGCCAGCTTACCCAAAACCACGACCTTGTTGTTTCTGTATTGATTTTCTGCATGAATTCAAATCTGTTGTATTCTTCCCACTCGTTGTCTATATTATGAGGCGACAGGACGCAGCTGACGCGTCGTCGCGAAATTTTTTGGTACCATTAAATCCTGCACTGCTTGCCTGCTTCAGCTTCATACCGGAGACAAAGTGCTTCAAAGAAGTTGAGCATAAAAAATCGTCATTGCTGAGACTGTTAAAGACGGTTGGAAAGTTATAAGTCACTGCGGCAACCTGTCATATAGTGAATGACAACTCACCGGCAAATCCGACGGCCAACATGCTAGTGCGCTTCTTGACATGCGTTCGAATTCTATTAGAAATCAGTAGAGGTCGTTTGTTCCTCCTCTGCGACTCTAAGCGATCTGAGCTGTTCTTGTCGCAACTTACTATGCGCAATTCTCTATCTCCCGTGTCGTCTCGTTGTAGTTGTTCCCTCGTCGGATGCTCAACACTCTCACCCTTTTCTTGCGTGCCATCCACCTGTGCAGTTTCAGGCTCCACCTGTACAACTTCAGGGGTTTTTGTCCGGAGAGGAGTGGGAGTGGAGTTCATAAGTGGCTCACTGTTGGCGCTTCGGAAATACTCGATTTCAGACATGGAACACTGAGGATGCGAACATGCTTTTTCGCGAAAACGGAGGAATGTGGTTCGCTGGCCCTCAATCAGCACCACCAACGCTGAGACATCAGAGGAGCTTCGAAGTCTCTCCGGTTGGCTTGCAGTGTTGGAGGTCAGACAGGTATTGATACGCAGAAACCCGCTAAGGTCACTTCTATCACTGAAACCCAGTTGACCGTCTGTTGTTCGCCTTCCGCCGCACACAACTGAGGGCTCAAACAGCGGTCTCTTGAAATCCTGTTCGGAGGATTGACAGACTGGGAGGGGGCCGGAAATTTCAGATACCACTACAGCCTGGGTGCGCGTTTGCGCGAGCCCACTCTCAAGTCCAACGTGTGCACTGTTGCCTTGCCAAACAAGTCTATGAACTTTTCTGTTGATCACTTTTGAAGGTCGCCGTCGGTAGCTGTTCGGCTGTCGCCTTTGGTAGGTTTGTCTCACGTACGATAAATGGCTTTCTTGTGAGGACGCTGAATTGCGTCTTACGCAAAACAATTTCAGCTTGCAGGCATATCTGCCAGTTCGGCGTCTCTTTCGGACAGCCATGACAATAAAGAAGTTTATGCAGATTGTGGCTAGCAGGGGTAGATAAACGCAGAATATGGTGTTGAGGAGCAGAAGTCGACGGCCATTCCGAGCATATGCCGGACAACACATGAATATTGGAATGGGGACGGTGAACATCAGCACGATGGACCACAGGAAAAGAATGATGGGACGGTGAGCCGATAGTCTTTGATATTCTTGGTAGCGCAGAGGATGGAGAAGAGCCAATAGTCTGCGGAATAGGCACACAGAACAAGAGGAATCTGTTAGGGTACTCTCATAAACTTGATATACAGCGGCTACGAGATACTTCGACAGCAAGTTCGGCGAAATTGGTGTGCCACTGCATAGATTTGTAGTTGAGATTGCAGATTCAGACAGACGCGAATTAAAGTTTTATACTCAGGCAACATGACGTCTCTCGAAACCCTTTGTGGATGTCATCGTTGCCTTCATCGTTGCCTTCATCGTACGACTAAGCCAGTTTTCTGCAAACCCGGCCATTCTACTGGAAATCTGGGTCTTGGTCAACGCATCCTACCAATCCAACGTATTGTCTCGAACTGCCCGTCGTAATTTTGGAACAGGACCATCTAAAGACTGGGGCGATATTTCCCACACTGCTGCTTAGACTTGGACACTTGCCATTTCACCGATATGTCCTAGCTGGCTTAACGTCCTCCAGGTCTTGCATTTTCGAAATACTCCGACAAGGCCAACCATACGCATAGGCCCCCCTATATTTGGCCCAAGGCAAGGCTTTTTTTATTCCCGTGGCTTGCTGTTTTCCATAACTGCACGACATGATTGGAGAGCACACTGATGTCCGAAATGGAGAGTGCATGATCGATCCAACGGCCACCCGTTCATCAGTGAACTGCGCTAAACCCCCGGCCACCGCAGCTCAACGGCAGGCGATATCGCAAAGTCTCCTTGACTGTAAAGACGCACAAAATACAGACCAATGTTGTAGTGGGTGTCAGATTCTAGCCGTCAAGGTCAACTATCTTGTGGAAGAAAGTACAAAGATGAAAGGCCCATTACGATGCAGTCTGGACAAAGCCAACGATACAAATATGCCTACTGGACGGTAACCAGATGTAGGGCAAATGCGTCCGCATAACAGGACGGCTACTTCCGGAAGATGCCTCTTGACAAGCTGAAACAGAGACATCGAAGAACATCCCGTCTGTCATGGTAAATGTCATGTGTCCTACAAACTCTGACGGTTCTCAAAAAACGTTCGAGCTTAATGGACCCGTTACGAGTGGTGGCATCGATTCATCCATCGGAGCAACAGATTACTATTCACTGTCTTCTCTGCCAAGCGCTTCTTCCAGGCTGGTAAAAACACGAGCCCAACAGACGAACAGCGAAAAAGCATATGCTTCACCCTCACCAGCGCATATTGCCACAG